CTTTTGTCCATTTTCAAGACAAGTCGCTACGAGTTACTTTTGAATTTCTCTTTAAACAGTCAGTTTACCTGGAAAGAAACAATAAAAAGAGTTCAAATGAATGCATGCAAGATTTCACAGCTCTAACACCTCTCCTTCATAGTCAGCCTATGGACATTTTAGCTTGCCATCGTATGTCAGTTTTATCTTTCTCAAAATTTGCGTCTCGTGTCATGTCGGTTTTATCGTGTATCGTGTCTTTAATTGTCACGTGACAATTCATACCATATCATGTCGTAAGCGATTTTATTGAACTGTTAGATCAATGACAGGATAGATCAATAATAGTATATATATATATATATATATATATATATATATATATATATATATTGTATATACACTGTCATTGATCTAACAGTTCAATAAAATCGCTTATCACCAGCCAACACAACGATAAACCCAAGCAAGAAACCCGACAGATCCTTACCAAGAACGCAAAAGTTCTATCACATAAACTGTAAAAACCGATTCGAAATACTATATATATATATATATATATATATATATATATATATATATATATATTGAACAATAAAAAAAATATTAAAAATTAAAATCTTCAGACACTGGTTTGTAGATTAATATTCTTTCGTTTTTTATTATTTCATTTAGATTCCTCATATATATATATATATATATATAATTTCTCTCTATCTATCTCTCTGTCTGTCTATTTCTCTCTCTCCTCTCTTCTGCTCTCCCTCTCTCTTTCTTTTACTCTTTCTCTCTCCCTCTCTCTTTCTACCCTTCCCCCTCTTTTCTCTTTTTTTCTCTTCCTCTCCCCCTCTCTCTCTTGTACGCTTATAATCCGAATTTTACTTATATTTTTATGTAGGCCCTTCGACTCTCCTGGCTTTCAATTTTTCTTATTTTCTTTTTCTCTATTTTTTTTTCTTTAATGAATTTGCTTTCCTTTATCGCAATTTTTTTTTCTTTTTTAAGCAAGATATTTTTTCTCCTTCAAGTGATTCTTCTTCGTGTCTTTTCAGGACGCGGGCTATCATGGATCTTCTTAATCCCCCCTCTCCTTTGTTAGGGCTTAGTAAATTTTGTCTTTTCGCTGCAGTTTTTCCTTTAAGAGTTTTACTTCTTCCTTCTTTTTTTTATTTTTATTTTTTTTTACTTTCTTTTCCTTATTCTTCCTGTTGTATTTTCCCCCTTTTTTCTATTCAGAAACTTTTTTATATTCTTTCTAAGCAGGTCCCTACCCTTTGTTTTAATTCTATTGATAACAGATAGAACACTAAAACTACAACAACTCAAAGACAAATGTAAAAAAAAAAAAGGAAAGCGAAAAGAAAGGACTATAAACATTAATGGCGAGAACACATAAGCGTATTGTCATTAGCAAGAAAGAAAGCTTCAAAATGGAAACTCCTAAAAAAAACAAGTACAGACATTTAACTATTTGGAATGATTTACAACATATGACGAAAGTTGTGTCATAGAAATCCAAAGACGCATTCGAACAGCGAAAGATGAATTCTAAAAAAAATAGGCTAAGCAAAATAGTGAGAAACAGAACAGCTTCGTTGGAAACAAACATAAAACAGCTCAGTTTTTGTTGTTGTTTTTCTTGTTGTTGTTGTTGTTTTTTTTTTTTTATTTATTTATCATTTCACCCCAAGCAAGGTGGAAGTGCCACTAGCGCGCAAGAGGTTACATAGAGTGGAAGCAAGAGTAAAGAAGCTTGATAGAAGAAAGGATGAAGAGAAAAACGGCGAATTAGATCATGGCACCAGAATATGTCGCTTGACATTACATTTGAATATTTGAAGACCTATAGCTGTCACGGAAGCAAGTAAGAGGAAGGGAGTTTCACAGATGGGAAGTGCGAGACATGAAGCTATTGGAGTAGAAGAGACGGTTACATTTCACCGTTTCGACAGTGAAATGATGGGACTGAGATGCCAACAAAATACAAAATAAACAAGATATTGTATATAAGATCTGATAGGGAGAAATAAAGAAATATTTAGCAGGGAATAAGTATTTTGGCTGAATATTTAGAACGCTAAATAAATAATATATTGCATACATATTTTAAGATTTTCACGCTAAGCAAAGCGGGAATGCCACTAGCACGCAAGGGGTTACAGAAAATGGGAGTAAGAGTAAAAAGGCATGATAGAGGAAAGGATGAAGAGAAGGACGGGGAATAGATCACAGCATCTGGAGATGTCGATTGACATTGCATTTGAATATTTGGAGATTATAACTATCAGGAAAGCAAGTAAGAGGAAGGGAGTTCCACAGACAGGAAGCGCGAGACATGAAGCTATTGGAGTAGAAGAGACGGCAACATTTAACAATTTCAACAGTGAAAGGGTGGGATTGAGATGCCAACCTAGTAACACGCTTAAATTCATGCAGTTTGGGAACCAGCGAACGTAGCTTGTCGGAGCAGTTACCGTGAAAGTATTTGTAGAAAAGACAGAGGGAAGCGACGGCACGTCTGTGAGAGAGCAACTGTAGGCGAGATCACAGACCAGGAACAACCACATTGCATATCCGTCTCTGGATTTTGTCGAGGACCGTGAGACGAACAGCAGAGGCTCCAGATCCTATATGGCAGCAGTATTCCACGCGACTTCCAGGCGCGACACAGAGAACCAACTTTCCTTGCCGTAGATGAAGCGATTGATTCAATGTATTTGTTCCATCTTAGGTCAGCAAACAGCGTAAGACCAAGCAGGCTCAGAGAGGCGCTCTCCTGGAGTTGAGTATCAGACATTCTAATGGAAGGCAGGCGGGGTTTGTTGTAGTGGGGAATAAAGAGTAGTTTTGTTTTTGAGGTATTAAAGTTTAACAGTCATTTCCTACCCCAGTCGACCACAGATTAAACGTTCTTTTTGAGACCAACGGCCAGATTAGTTTTGTCAGTGATACCAGATTTACTATTGAGGCAGGAGTAAATAGCAGTGTCGTCTGCGTAGATGCATACTTGGGAAATGATGACATCAGAAAGATCGTTAATAAAGATCAGAAACAGTGTATAACCACTGGGGAACACCAACGTTCAGGAGAAAGGAACAGGAGGAGAAGCCGTTTAGGACGATCTTCATTTGACGGTTTGACAGGAATGATTGTAATATCAATCCTCCTATATGGCAGTGAATGCTGGACAATTTCCCCGATGATGAAGAGGGGGAGCTAAGTTAACAGAAATGAGATTCTACAGTAGAATACTGAGAATACTATGGATGGAACATGCGAGCAATGTGGAAGTTTTAAGGAAAATGGACAAAAAAAGACAATTTCTTAGAATCAAATAGAGACAGTGGAGATTTCTGTAAAACATAATGAGGACAGCTGGCTTGGAGAAACCAAAACTCACAGTACATATGATTGGTTGTTCGATTCTGTATAGCGACACATCAACATCTCTATGGGTTATTTACTGCCTAAATCTAAATAATTTGAACACAATCTTATGGCGTCAACTAAATATATTTTGAACGCAAGTGTATGATTTCAGCTACAGATAAAATTGTTGGTAATTTTACTATAAAATTATTGCTGGTCATTTTCCTTTAAAATTATATTGTTGGTTATTCTTGGTACTTTTTATATAAATATTTATTGTTGCTACTTTTTTTCTCTAAAAATGTATTTTTATACTTTCATAGTGTATTAAGGTTCACCATTTCCCATAGCTGAGACCCTAACCGGTGCTACCACCCCGGGTCAACAGCATTCAATTGTGGTTCTACGCTCGTCAAAACCTTCAGTCTTCCGATCAGAGGCCTAGCTGCCGGATGTAGTATATCGTCATACCCAGGATACATATTGAAGGCAAAAGCAACAGTGAGAAACAGCGAGTAACTTACCTGATGACCTTTTATAAATACATGGCGAAACAAGGTCCGGTGAAGATAATAAAGGAACAAATATTGCCTAAAGCTATACAGTATAAGAAGCTGTAAAGAGCCATTCTCGCCCACATTCCGAAGAGAATAAGCACATAAAATAAGAAGACATTTCTTTACCTGGCAACTAATGTACTTATTGTTATCGCCTGCTTTATTCATTTTCTCTTTGCGTTTCATAGATTTCCCTAAAATTGTGTAATTGGCGAAGAAATTAGTTCGACAGTTAATTGAATAAGAAATTAGTTCAACAATCATCGGGTGCACAGTACCTGTGGCCTTATGCCAAACTAGGCTCAGTTTAATAAATCATATCAGTGGGTGACCTACTGGGAGGAACAAAGATAAGAATTAAATCATTTTAAAGGTGTTTAATTCTTTTTTGTTCTAATTTTTCTCTTCATTTTTAATCGCTTTCTTCTTTCTCATTATTTTATTCTTTTTCAATTTTTTCTTCTCGTTATTGTTTTTGTCCTCGTCTCTTTCATTTTCTTCCTTTATTTTTTCCCCCACTGTTTACCCTCCGTATTTTCTCCTTGGAATTGCAACTATTGTTGTTAAAGGCAGTAAAGAGCCTCACTTTCGTATTTTTTTTTCCTTGTGCGTCAAGAGCGATTCGCCAATCAATTTCTCCGCCTGGCAACTAATGTACTTATTATTATCGCCTGCTTTATTCATTTTCTCTTCGCGTTTCATTCATTTAAATCACGCATGGTAACACGTGATATTCAACCGCCCCCACCCTACGATAATTTTCGACTTCTGCGAGCAACTTGGTACCGGTTCTTACAAACAAACTTTCTGAATGTTAAAAATGTTTCATGGCAACCCAATTCCGCTATTTAATAGATTATGACGTTGCTATTTTTTTTTTCAGCTGAGCTCACTTTTCTTTTTAAACTAAGATTTTTTTTTAGATTTCAGTTAATTAAAACGAAAGACTTTCACAACGAAAGCAAAACAATGTTAGTTATAAATTAAATATAATTGTGCTTTATTATCATTTGAAAAGTATGGCACATCTGTACGTGACAAAAATTTGCATCAGATTTTAACAGACGATACTAAAAATTTTCTTCTTCTTCTTCG